CAGCGAAGATCTTAGCATATGACATAGGTAGGCGATCAAAGTTTCTTTCAGGCCTCTTTGTCTTTTGCTGATTAGGCTAACGTTGTTGTTGAGTAGCTCGTTGTTGTTGATTCTGAGGGGGATTTTGATATCCTTGCTGATTGTATGATGGTTGCTAAGGAGCCTATTTCTGCATTTGAGTTTGAACAGATGGCTGATAAAGCATTGGAGCGTATTACACAACAACAACATACAGATACTGGAAGTAAGGGATTTGATAAGGCATATGAGCAGGAGCTTGTTGAGCTTGCCCTTTCTGAGCAGAGATGGCATTTGTCTCGCCCTCCTTTTTCTTATATCCATTGAAAGGCTTCTTAGCTTTGGATTAACTTCGAAAACCTCATTTGATGTTTCCACTCTTCAAACCGTCTTCGATTCTCTCACCAATGCTCACCAAGTCAGAGAATCCAGCAGAGACACTATCGATCAGCTTCTCATTGTACTGGCCTTACAAAGTACCCATGAAGATGTCAATCAGTTCATGGTCAATAAAAGGTGGATGCAGTCTTGCAGCTAACTCTCTCCAGCATTGCGTGTACTCCTTAAAGGATTCGTTGTCCTTTTGAGCCATGCTCTGAAGTTGAGTACAGTTCGTAGCAAGGTCGGTGTTGTATTTGTACTGCTTGACTAACGCATCTGCTAAATCAGCCCAAGTGCATACACTGCTACGCTCCAGTTGCATGTACCACTCAAGGGATGCTCTAGACAAGCTGTCTTGGAAGCAATGAATCATCAACTTTTCGTCTCTGGCATAGGCAACCATCTTGCGACAGTACATCTTCAGATGAATGTTGGGACAATTGAGACCCTTGTACTTCAAGAATTATGGAACCTTAAACTTGGGAGGAATGGTGGCATCTAGCACCAAGCACATTTCTAAAGCATTCAAAGAAGTTGAGTTGTGCCCCTCCATGACTCGGAGTTTCTCAGCTAAATCGCGACACATTTTGATGGCTTCAGAAACCTGAGCAGTAGTAGGATTGACAATTGGGATAGCAGCATGATATTCTTGCACATTATCATACTGATCTTGAAGATTCTCTTCAGCATGAGGAATGAGGATCTAAATGACAGTAGGTTGGGCTTCTGGGATAGCCTCAATAGTAACTCTAGGTGTTGAGAGTGGTTGAGAAATGGCATTCAGCTATGGGAATGAAGTTTATCGATATCTCATAATTGATAGGGTTGGGAACAAGAACTGAGAGCCTTGAGGTAGATCCTTGCACATGAACGTTGTTGCTGACGGCAACGGGTTGACGCAGTTCTTCCTCTTTTCTGGCTGTAGTGATGGCTTCGAGAATCTGATCAATATTTCCTTTGAGGGAGTCCAACTCTTCTTTGAAAGCAGCTTGCTCGTGTTGAATCTGCTCTATCATATGTCTTGTGTTGGCTCGAGTTGCATATTAGTTTTAAGGAATCAGCTTGGTTTACTGAAGATGAAGGAAGAAGAATTGAGTCTCTACTGTTGAAATGAAATGTAAGATGCATAACAGATACAATGTAATGACATGTAGGTATACAATGCAAGATGCAAGATCCAGGATCACACGTTTGATCAGTTTTGAGGATGGTCACAGTAACAGATAGTTAACCAAAGTTTATGATCAAAGAAACCTTATAGGTTGGCTCTATACGGGAAGATCTAAGTTCTTTACCCATAAACCCACTCACAGGATGGTTTTTATGTTGATGGATAAGGTTCCCAGGATCACGGACACCAATCACATCAATGTCGCGCAACAGACTAGCTGTATTATGACGATAATGACAACAAGGTCTCTCCTGAGCGGGGTCCTCATGCTAGGAACACAAGGAGTGACTCCTTGGATACTAACACTACACGACCACCAATATAAAACTGGTGCTAAAAGGTTTCCAGAATCACGAACCCTTCATGAATCAAGTCATGCAACAAGCTAGTTGTATTATAACAAGATCTACAAATATGTCTCCTCTAGGGGAGCTTTCGTGCTAGGCACACAAGGAGCGAGTCCTTGGGGATTAACACTAATAGACTACCAATTCTAAACTAGGTGTTCCCTCTAATTTTACCAAAGCTCGAGTGTAGAGCTTTACTCATGATATCATCCCAAGATCCAACAGCCAAGCATGATAACGAGCATATAAAAAAGAAAGCAATAAGAGAACAAATACATAAACGAGAAGAAAACAAGCAAACAAAGATAACTCTCTTTGCAAATCGCCCTAAGATAGGCTTGACTCTATCTTGCATGGAGCAAAAGTTTCCAGCAGAGTCGCCAGCTGTCGCACCTCGAAAAATCATCAAAAATACGACGCTCGCACGAAAGGCGCCGAATGCGGTTCGACAGAGTCGCCACCGAACTTTGTAATCCCAAAAATATGGAATTGAAAATATCGAGAAAACCTTTAAAGAGAGTTAAGAACATGGTCGTCGCAACCACATTCTGGGTTCGGGAGTCGGTTACGTAAGGGGAAGCTATTAACACCCCTCACGTCCGTTGTACTCAACGGGAACCTCTTAGTTCGATTTGTGATGAGCGTTATCTAAGCTTGTTTTTTTTCTTCTCAATGATAAATGTGAACGTGTACAATAAACGGAATCAAATGCTAGGGGAAAATGGGTGGTCGGCAAGGATTAGGTCGGCAAGGATTAGGGTCTTTGTGTCTACATTTGCTCATTCGGACGAGAATGAGAAATCAGAGTTTTCGTAGTTCGACTACGGGAAAAGGTTGGAAAGGGGAAAACAGAAGATGGAGCCTTTGATCTCTCTTCAGTTGTTTAGATGCGGGTTCTTTTACTCGTGTATGAACAGCTGACGCCTCAAAAAAACTTTCAATTCGACCATTCCGATCTACGCATTCGTATTGCTTCGATTGTTGTCTGTTTACTAGGAGCACCCCTATGGACTAGCATAGACTAAACCATTTTCAAACTAATTCTTGATTCGCCGTCGAGCCATTTTAAAACACCTTTCGTAAGTCGATTCCTCATTAGCATTCGCCATCAACCTATTGCACACCATCACATCATTTCGTTGTGGTTACATTACTAGGAGCACCCCTAGGAACTAGGATCGATTCTCACCTCTTTTCAACCAAATTCTCGATTCGTCATCGAGCCCTTTCCAACGCCAAGCGGGTTTTTATAATTAAAATTCAAAACGATGAACAACTATGAAACTCTTTCCAAGGTGAAAAAGATAGGGATTGGGCCTTTGATCTCTCTTCAGTTGTTTAGGTGTGAGTTCTCTTACTCATATATGAACAATTGACGCCTCTAAAACACTTTCAACTCGATCATACAAAATATCTTCCAACCATTCATCGTTCAAAACACTTTTCAAGCATAACTTCTTTTCAAGATGAAAAAGAGAGAGAGAGTCAAGTCTTTAACTCACTCTCCCGATTAGTTGGGCCCGAGGAGCCTTTCTTAAGCTTCGAGTAATCATCATCCAAACCAAATTTTAACTCGTAACCCCTTTTTTTCGTGGTCGTCTCCACGAACTACAGACGCTCTGATTCTTTATTCTCGTCCGAATAAAGATACGTAGGCACAATATTACGATGATCTTGGCGAGCTACCTTTTCTTTTTTCATATGTTTGCGTCTACCTTTTTTCTTTTTCCATCTTTTCCGTCAAAACCTTTTGTCCACAATTCCCTCCATCTTCTGTTTTCCCTTTTCCAACCCTTTCCCGTAGTTGAACTACAAAAGCTCTGATTTCTCATTCTCGTCCGAATGAGCATACGTAGGCACAAGGGCCTCAATCCTTGTCGAGCACCCTAACCTAAAACAACCCATTTTTCTGCTAGCATTCAACTCCTTTTATCGTACCTGTTCGCATTTATCATTGAGAAGAAAATAAACAAGCTTAGATAACGCTTATCACAAACCGAACTAAGAGGTTTCCGTTGAGTATAACGGACGTGAGAGGGGCTAATAGCTTCCCCTTACGTAACCGACTCCCGAACCCAGAATGTGGTTGCGACGACCATGTTCTTATCTCTCTTTAAAGGTTTTTTTTTGATATTTTCCTTTCTCTATTTTTGAGATGAATAAAGTTCGGTGGCGAATCTGTTGAACCGCATTCCGCGCCTTTCACGCGAGGGTCGTTTTTTCGATGATTTTTCAAGGTGCAACACATACCTTTAAGACGTGTCTATTTCCTAAACTTCTCCTTCTTTAAAGATTTAAATCACCTTCTTCTCCTAGACGGATAAGGCCATGGCTCAATTCAAAACAACTTTATTGACCAAAATTTAATAGTTGGTCCTCACTATCATTCCACAGTAAGTAGCACACTTGCAAGAAGATTAAAAATGATCTCAAAAAACTGACCACTTCAATTTTCAATGTAATATATTTTACACTATGCAAAATTACACATGAATCAAATTAAATCATGTCAAAATATTTATTGAAATAATTTTATTAATCACTTTAAAAATAATATCACCAAATTTTAAATAGTCAATTTAATTTATAAAACATTTTTTATTATAATTTAATTAAAACATCTTAATTAATAGTTTTGTAGAAACATCAAATATAAAAATACAGATCGAATCTTCGACATTTCGCAGATAGATTTTAGCCACTAAACTACTTTAAAAAATCATTCACTATAGACACAAGAAAGTTTAACTTGTCAATGAAGTACTTTTATTACTCATGATAGAGAAGAAAGTTTTACCTATAATTCTATGTAGTATAAACCAACCATCAACTAAAAGATTAACATGTACTATAAATTAGAAAAAAGATCCATTGTAAGAGTTATGTACAGTTATATAATTACAATTGTACAAATATCCCAACATTATTCCATCTCTTTCACTGATTTTCACACCCAACCTATCCATCCCATAAAAAAATCAAAAGATTGAAAAAAGATCAATATAAGCTACAAAATTTTTTCATTTTTCTTTTTCTCTTTTCTCATGTATATATTTTCCCTCCAACTTTCCTCTTATTTTAACTTAAACTTCTTGAGAATTATCAAGAGGAAAACACGTATCCTCTCCACCAGTATTCCATAGAAAATGAGCATAATTTGCAGCATAATAAGTGTTACTAGGTTCAGCCGAAATTGCCTCCAAATATGTCTCCTCAGCAGCCCACAAATCGTTTTTCACTTTCCATAAAAACATTGCGTATTTGTTAAACGACTCAGCATCCGGTGGCTCCACTTCTATAGCTTTCTTGAAGTATTCCTCTGCCCTGTATTTTCAAACCATATACCAAAATGTCAATAATACAACCACTTTTCACATGTTAATTGCTTTTCCTAACTATATAATTAATTTACGTTACATTACTTTTTTTTAATTATATAATAAAACCTTGGTAGACTATGAAAAGAAAAGTCAATAAAATTACGTGTGAGATATTTGTTATGTGTATGATACACGAGTACATCACGTGCAGAAAACGATACAAAACTGGCTCATGAATCAGTGGTACACTGGTACAGAGAAACTACACCGCAAACTCCTCTTTCAACTATTAAATTCGACAAAAACATATTTTGTATCTTTTCTTTCTTCCATTTTTAGTTAGATTTCCCATGAAATATAACTATAATAAATCAAATATTATTCCAAAATTGGGAAGTATAATGAACTGCTTAATGAGATCTAAATATCAACCGGTGATGGTACTATAGAGACATCTTATGATTCGAACTAGCGACACAGGACGTGAGTTCGAACATAAGATGTCTCCGAAAAATAAAAATAATGCACAGATTTAAATCTGCGATATCTCTCTTTAAAATGTGAAATTAACTGAGTTTTGAAGAGAGTAAAAATATAAAAAGATTCCATGGAATATACGCACCTTTCAAATTCATGTGCAACGATGTAAAGAAACTGAGCATAGTTAGCAAGTAAAAGACCATTGTTTGGTTCTTGAGACAAGGCGGTTTGATAAACAAGTTCTGTTCTCAAATACTCAGCATAATCATCAGATTCAATCCTAGCAGAAACCGGTGAAACGAATCGTTTAATTGCTTCTCGATCTAAATCCACTTCCATTCTAGAAGCTTCTTCCACCATATTTTCCCATAGTTTAGTTTCTTCTTCTTCATCTTCTTTTTCTAAAACCGACTCCGGTTCATTTTCCCCTGTTTTATAAACACCGCCATTTGAAAAACCGGTTCCGGTTTTATCAAACCGGCCATCCCCATCGAACCCACTCGCTACCGGTTTGAATTTCCCGCCTCGGCCGCTTCCTCCGTCGACGGAGGCCGTGTTATTTCCGTTTGAAACAGAGAACGATTTAATCACAGACGAATCGAATTTCTGAAAATCATTGTCGCGAAACTCGACGATAGATTCCGTCTCAACCGGCGGAGCAACGGCGGCGAAGGCGTTGTTGCTTGACATTGAATGAACGGTGAAATTCGCTAAGAGAATCATGACATAAACCATTAACGTTGGTGTATGAGAGAAAACTTGTTGAAATAGCCACACGAATGAAGCGTGCATTTCCCTTTGCACCCTTTCGAGAATCCCTTGTAAATCTTCGTATAAAAGAGCCTCTCTCATTTGCAGAGTGAAACATTGAAGCTCTCTGATGATGAAAACCATGGAAGAAAAAGCTTTCTTCACTGAACAACGCGCAGATTCACCAACCTCTCTGAACTCTTCTTTCAATCTCAGCTTCTTTTTTATAATCCTCAACGAAAACGGAAGCTCCACGCTGTTTGCTTTCCGTTCAATTATCGCCGGCATAATTTCCTCACCGCCATGGCTTCCGTTCCACGGCGGTTCAAAGTCTGCCGCAAAGTTAACCGCGGAGGAACCCGAAGAAGAAGAAGTTAAACTTGCTTTTAAACTCTCTTCGAAACTTTCCAAATCCATAATCGCATTGTTTTCGCTTGAAATCTGGAACCTGAATGCTAAATCTTCGATTTTCTTCGCAAATTCTTCATCGGAGAACGAATCTAAGCTTGCACTGAAAGCCCTTCTAATAGTACTTCTCTTTCGCGTAGTCCAAAGTGGGTATCGATCCAAAGATCGAGACCTGTGAATAACAAAATTTCTCGATCGAAACAAAGCTGAACATGGAACGAATTTGGTTCTTGGTTTAGACGAAGGAGATGAAATTGCTGAAGCTAGAGTTTGAGATGAAGATGGAGAATGAGATAGAACATTATGCGACAAGTGCAAAACCTTAAGTCCCATAATGTTTCAATTAAGAAGAAAAAAACAAAGGAAGAACAAGATGAAGAAAGATAAGAATCGGAATCTGAGTTTCTCAAAAGATGAAACTTTAAAAACGTGATACTAAAACCCGAAAAGTCCTCTTTTTAACCTGCAAAATTTAAAAAATATATATATATTAAAAAAAATAAATTATAATTCATCTCAAAGACCTAGAGAAAATAAAGAGTGTGAAAATGATTACAATTACCACAAAAATCGGATCGAATTAACGAAACTCGAGGAAAACAAGATCCAAGAGAATGAAAGTGTAACTAACTTACTTAAACGGCGGTGGAAGAGTTCTGATATGTAATTTCCCGGCGGAGAATTTTCTCCGATGAGTTTGACGACGGAGGAGAAGTGCAAAGTGTTGCAGCTTCAGTCATATCGAAAAAAGGTTTAGCACATGGGTGTGATGTATATATAGACAAAGACGAAAATTGGAGGAAAAAATATCAGGCTATGACCGGCTGCGTCGGTAACAATTGTCCCACTTGTTTATCATGGACCGCCTTAGTGTTTTACAGCTGCACCAGGTTACCGGTCAATTATGGGGTCCCACTATATGCAATTTGCAAATTTGTGATAGTTAATGCTCTCCACTATTGATATTTTTTTAGGGTTAATTAATTTTAAAATTGAGGTTACGACTTACGTAAGACTTTTTTTTATTTAAAAAATCTGAATAATTCTATTGACAGATTTTATTTTAAAAGTTGTGGGTTTTTTTATTTATATAATTATGGCTTTCCGAGTTTGGAACCATTTAAGTTAATAAAATATTATTGTTAACCAAGTATAGGGTAAATCGTGAGATTTATTCGTCTTAACGTGCGGAATATTTTAAAAATAAACTAATCAAAGTTTTCTAAAAGATTAGATATGAATTATAATTAACTTGGAAAATTCCTAATATTTAAAATTTGAATAAAATAGGTGTAAATAGTAATTTATGAACATGGCTAAAATGAAGGGAAAGTTCAAGGGAATATTATGAAGAGATTCGTGTTAGCTTCGTTGAAATGCTGTTTTGAAGATTTTACGCGTGCTGCTATTTTAGTTTAACATTTGTTGTTTGGTGATGTTTTTAGGAGCATCTACTTTTGGTGTTTTGTAGTTTGTTTTGAGAGTTTGTTCCTTCATTTATCAAAAAGAAAATTTATTGCTAGGTGAAAATTTATGATTGCATTATTACATTAATGAAAAAAAATTTTATGAAGAGTGAAAATAAATTAAAGGGTAATGATAATTTGTGTCTCAACCTTTACGATACAAATTAAGAAATTTATTAATAGAAAATTTGTATTAAAAAAAAAATAATTAAAAAAATAATTTTATACTTTAATTAAAATTTGTATATAATTTTTAAAATAATATCTTTTAATTTAATTTTTGGTTTGTGCCCTAAAAGTACAAGTTAATATTACCCTAAATCAAAAGTTGTATTTTTATATGTTTTTTTAGGGATTTTATTTTTATTGTTCTTTTGTTTTGCAAAGATATAATTTTGTACTTCATCTTTGAGAAATGTTGTTGTTGTAGAAAAGGTAATGAAATATAGATTTAATATTTTGATAAATAATTTTTTGTTTTGTTTTTAGTATATGATGATGTGCGTTTTTTTTTTAAGTCTTTTGGTTGTTCCAAAAAAATCATGCTAATTTGAAGTTTAGGTGGGAGTAAAGTCTAATTAAGAATATTGTTTTGTTCATGATTTAAATTAGAAATATTTCGAGTAATTCATCTCTAAGTGAAATATAATAACAATAAGAGTTCATGAATTTTTCTTAGTTGAAAATGGTTGTTTTTTAGTTGAAGATTTGATTATTTCCTTCTTTTAGAATAATCAAGTGTGTTTCAGTCACTAGACACATATTATATCATAAAGTTGATGAGGATATTAAAATAAGATTAAGTAAGTGTCATACCTTAATTTTTTACTTTAAGATTTTTCAATTTTCTCTATAAGATTATTAGGTCTTTGGTCATGATCTTTTGAGAATTATGTGTGTGTTTTATTGTAATTAACCAATTTTGCAGGTGCATTAAATACAAGTGTAGATGATATTGGTTTTCTCAGTCAAGCGTTTTAGGGCATGACCAGTTTATCTTGACTCAAAGTAGTCTCAGGGTTTATATTTGAGCCTCACTGTTAGAGCTTCTCATTCTTGAGCCATTCTTAGACCAATGCTTTGAAGATGTGTTGGATGGATTTTTGGCCATATCTCATGAAAATCAATATTGAGTTTTGATTGATTAAGGTACGAGTCATGGTGCAAAAGATGAAGTTGTGGGTTCATTACGATTAAGGTCTTGTTGCTTTCTCAATTACTTGTTGCTCTAAAGTACACGGTAACTCGGATTCGGGATTAAGATATTCATTTAAGTGTGTTACGAATTCAATGTTTGCAAAATGACAAAGTGGCATGACTTAGTTTATGGATTCTCTATGGCATCAAAGTTCGACTCTTAATGTTTTGGGTTCAAATGGTTTGAATCAATTGAAAAAACTGAGCTTATTTGTAAAAAGGATTCATTTGGATTTCTTGAAGTGCTAGTACCTAAATTATAGTACATCATACATATTCATGAAATGTTGCAAGTTCATTTAGAGTAAGAAGATGGATAGCCCTGCATTTCCTAACATAGAGTTGAAACACAATCAGACATGTCTTAAAATTAAAATCAATGTTCATCTGCACTACTACAAATATGACTTTTGGCAGCGCATAAAAAGACAGTGCTTTATGAAAAGCGCTGCTAAAGAGTCATGAAAAAAAAAGAAAAAAAAATAGCATACATTAGACAGCGCTTTAAGAAAAACGCTGCTAAAAGTAGTCCCTAAAAAAGCGCTTTATAAAAAGCGCTGCTAAAAGTAGGTCATACGAGAGCGCTTTTAGAAAGCATTGCTAAAGGGGTAACCTACGAAAGCGCTTTCTAAAAGCGCTGCTAAAGGGGGGGGGGGGGGGGGGGGGGGGGGGGGGGGGTCTAAGAAAGCGCTTTCTACAAAAGTGCTGCTATAGGGGGCACAAAAGAAAGCGCTTTTTAAAAGCGCTGCTGTAGGTCCTGCCTAAGGCAGACCTTAGAGAGCGCTTTCTAAAAGCGCTGCTAAAGGCCGTGCAAAAGCGCTGTTGTAGGTTTAAGTAGTATAAATTTAAAAAAACCCAGTATTTTCGCAGAAATAGAACAGTCTCCTTCTTTCCTTCTTTCCCACTCGCGAATGTTTGTCCTATTAACCGTCGATGCATTCTGTCAATTGCCCCCGTCCGACAGCTTCCGTTTGTCGCCGTCCTTCATTCATTCTGTCGTGTATTTCCTTTCGCCGCCTTTCGTCCGTTTTGACGGTCATCTCTGTCCTCCACCTCCACTGTCAGCGCATTTCCACCATTTTTAAGGTATTTGAAGTTTTTCATTTTTTCATTTTTCTCGATTATTCTCTTGGTTTTTCATTTTTCTGAACTAATAGATTTAGATAACTTTAGAAAACTCATACATACTGAATTCAAGAAAATGTACAATTTAGATAACTTTAGAAAACTCATTTTTCTGAACTCAACATTGTCAATATACAATTCTTTTGTAATATATTATGGTATCCTACAATTCTTAAGAAGTAACAACTAAATTCAAGCAAATGTATTTTCTATTCACGTGTTGTATGTTGAAACCATGAACAATATAGTTGAAAAATGTTAAATAATTTGATAGATTTTGAATGCTTCCGAAGTATATCTTGGACAATGTTGATGGAAAAAAATAATGTTAATGTTGTTGTTGTTAGTGGTGATATTAATGATGTTGTTGATATTGTTGATGGAAACAAATGTTGTTGCTGAAAACAAATGAATTAATTTCGTATATTTGTTAATGGTATTGTTGTTGATGGAAAATTGAATTAAATAACGATAATGTTGTTGTTGATGTTAATGATGTTAATGTTGTTGATGAAAGTAAATGAATTATTTATGTCTGTTAATTTGGATCGTTTCCAAGAATTATTTAATGTTGATGATGTTATTAATTTTGTCTGTTACAGGGGTTACCTGTGAAGAGTAAGGTTGTGATCGTTTCCAAGAATCCTACTTTGTAGCTTTCTTAGAAGTTGGTGATTTCTTTACAGGTATTCGCTATTTTGTTTAGCTTTCTTAGTTTAGTTTAGCTTACTTAATTAGTATGGATAAAAAATGGATGTCTTCTAATCGATTGTCAAAAGAGTACGAGAATGAGGTATCAAAATTCGTTAAGTTTGTTGTTGAACACGCCAAAGACCCCAGTAGGATCACATGGTCTTGCTTAGGTTGCTGTTATGGATGTCGGGTTGACGATGTTCAGTTGGAATCTCATTTAATGAGACATGGAATTGATCGAAGTTATACATGTTGGACATTACATGGTGAGATAAGTAACGCGAATTTCGAACCGAGGGATAATACGACCTATGCTTCAAAGGAAAATGGCAGTGATACATATGATTGTGATCGAGTCGAAGAGATTGCAGAAGCACTTGAAGAAGATCTTCAGGATTGTCCCAAGATGTTTGAGAGGTTGGTAAGCGATGCAGAGAAACCGTTGTATAAAGGTTGCACTACTTTCACAAGATTCTCTGCGGTATTAAAGTTGTACAACTTAAAGGCGGGTAATGGATGGTCGGATAAAAGTTTCACAGAGTTGTTAGCCCTACTACAAGAGATGATTCCGGAGGATAATGTTCTTCCTAATCGAACCTATGAAGCTAAAAAATGTTATGCTCTATTGGCATGAGCTATGATAAGATACATGCTTGTCCAAATGATTGCATTTTGTTTCAAAATGAATATGCATCATTAAACGAGTGTCCTAAATGCGGTGTATCTCGGTATAAGAAAAAGTTGTCACCAACAAAAGTCTTATGGTATTTTCCTATAATTCCGAGATTTAGACGCATGTTTCATAGTGAAACAGATGCAAAACACTTGGCTTGGCATGCAGATGATAGAATT